GTACGCCTTGCGTACGAAGAGTATGCCCAACATACTAAGTTCCGACCAGAAATTACCAAAATGTCACTGTGGGCAATTTTTCACTCTTTCTCATGCACAAGAAACAAAATGCAATATTTCTTCATACATAGAGTTAAATTTGAAATTACCTCAACATCGGGATGTTACAGGATGCCGAGTGAATAAGAGATGAGCATGCTATATTATTCACGACCTTTAAATATTTATGTTGTAACCTATGTTGGATATTTAATTATGACATCATTGGTATTGTAATATTTTGAAACATTATTTGTAATCTCAAAAAAAAATGTTTTATTAAACTAGTCATTTTCCATAACAAAACAACTTATTATTTTTAAAGCATAAAGAAAAAGTTTTAATTGGTTCTGAAAAATGGAGGATGTCACAGTATACCATATCTAGATCGTTAGGTGGCATAAGAGCTTAAGCCAAAAGAGGCGTCGAGTGGTTTTTCTAGACAAACACTCGGGACATGGTCCTTGCGGTGGGTGGACTGGAGTGATGTTGGCAATGCGGTGGATCCAACACAAACATCACATGGGATTTGGAAGGTGTATCACAATGTAATTGGCACCATTTTTACCAATCCTTAACGACAACACATGTACTAGTATATGCAATGTCGGAGTAACAAACACAACCAATAAGGGGAAATGTTATGGGTGAGAGTCGCGCCTCACTTAGTGCACTGGGTCGTGTCAGTCACGTTATTAGTGAACATGATACTTACCTTGTGGGTTACTGATGAATATATAGACCCGCAAATAGAAAATATTTGATAATAATTACAAAGGTGATTAGAAGAGAGTAATTATTAATGATGAAAATGAAGATTAATATTATCTTATAATATTATTGTGATGAATGAAGTAATAATTAGTTACAAAGATGAATAATAAAAGTGTAACTAAATGTAAAATCTCTAAGAAAGAATAATATTATTTGAGCATTATTGTGTTGGTTATGTGATGTATTTGATGTCATGCTATGTGAGAGTTTGAATGCATGCTTATATGATGCTTTGTCTAACCCATTTGGGATATGTACGTTCCCTAACATCGTATTTATGATTGACTCACTTAGCGTATGCTGACACTTGTTTCATTGATTGTTGTTTGTCTTCCATTGGTACAAATAACATAGTTTGATGGCTTGGTGATGATGACGACTTTTGGGTAGTTCATTTAGCATATTTTTAGTGATGATACCATTTTGACTTGTCGATGAGATTTCATCTATTTTTGGATTTGAAAACTTGTTTGGTGTGGTTTGGTGAACTTAAACTTTTGAAAGAGGTTGTTTTTTTATATTTAAGTAACATTGGTGATGTTTTCAAATAAACTTTTAACAAGACTTTCGTTGCATTATTCTGTTAAAAAGTATTTAAAATAAAAAGAAAAATTTGGATGAAAAAATTATTATGTTATAAGTTGGTATCAGAGCCATGTAATAAGTGAACTGAATACAAATGTTAGTATTCAAACTCACAGTGTAGATTAGGTTACTTTAGATTCTTAAGAGGGGAAGGTGTGTGTTGAGAGTTTAGGATAGTTGCTTAAATTGTATCAAGACTTTCCTTCCTTTATGTGGTGTTGAAAACGAAAATTTTCCTATGTTTAGGAAAATGTCTGAAACAACTGCAAACAATGAATCGGACGGACCACACGACAACCAAAAACGATCAAGGGGCTAATGATTATTTAAATAAAGTATAATGACTAATATAAAACAAAAAAAGTTTAGTAACTAAAATGACCTAAACCGTTAAGTAAATAACCCAATAAATTCTAATTTATTAAGTAGACAAGCCAATAAATAACGTATTAGCATTTATCAACCAATGGTATATTTATTGAATAAAACAATTTTTTTTAGTACGAGTAAAGATTTTTATTAAAAAACAATGCTAGTGAAAAGCTAGACAAATATAAAGTAGAAATTACAAGTTACATACCAAAATATGGGAACATCATCAATCATGTCATAGGGGAACATCGTGAATCATTCCAATTCAAACTATTAATCTTAGCCATATTTTTAATCCGGTTAAACACCAAAAACTGGATATCATTCGCCTGTCATCATCAAAACATCCAAATTATCATGTATAATAAAACAAATGACAATTTTGACAACTTAGAATCTGTCTGAACATCTTTCATTAGGGACAAAAGACACAAAGGCTCATCAGATGTGCATTGATAAGGCTACTTCAAAAACTGATCCAACTCCAAATATAAAACAGATAATCCAAATAGATTTAAATAATTCAAAATAAAACAAATAAATTAGTTTACTAAATATATATCTGAACCCAATAAACTAACCCACTAGATGAAATATCTTAACCGAATAAATCAAGGAAAAAAAAGAAAGGATGAGAATGTTTTTGATGATTTATATATTAATGTCCATTCATAACACAAATTTGAAGAAAAAAACATTTTGTGACTTCCAATACACAAAAAATTGGATATTTGATAATATGACTCATCCATATTGCTATTTTGAATTTTTGATGATTAACCCATAAATTAGGCTTAGGCCACTACATTATAATCCAATGAGTTATAATGAAATAAGTCACTAAAGTCATCCATTAAATGCAAATAAAACCCGCTACATACATCACCAGTTTATTAATAATTACCTATCAATCCTTGTGAGGGTCATACAGAATTTTCATTTAAATATAAACTTTTGATTTGAATATATATATATATATATATATATATATATATATATATATATATATATATATATATATATGATACTAACATTCCATTTTATATAAACAAGATACAATGAGTAGCCTAAGAGAACAAATATACATGGTTGATAAAATTACAACTTTGTGATGGGAGTTTATCAGTTAAAAAATATTTCATACAAAAGATTTAGGATTCGAATTTTGACTTACCTAAGATATTCTGCGATTACATGATTAAAACAAGTTGACATATGTTACGATGTAATATTTTCTTTTTAAAAATAACAACAATAATATTTTATACAAATTTAAAGATAAATGTCAAATTAAAATTGGTAAAAGTTGATATCGAACTAGGGAAGTCAACCAGGCTAACAGTTTTGCACTTTCTGACATGTCAAAGCTGAATACGCCGACGTTTCAACTGTGTAAACAAACACGCAGACACGTGGGACCATCATTATCATTAATTTATTAATACTATCCAGCTGCTAAACCAACTTTTTGCTATAATATTCACTTTGCCACCCTCAACTATTTTCAGTACCCAGATTGCTCCATTAGCGTTTATGAATTCGACAATTTTCCCTATAAACAAATATTGATTTAATTAGTCACACATTTTCATTTTTAAGGAAAAATAAAAGGGTATGTACCATGACTTATTCAAAATAATTTATTTATGAAACATGTGAATGTAAAATGAAAAGGTTCTGTACCATGATTTATTCAAAATCATATTATTTGTGAAACATGTGAAAGTGAAATGAAAAAAATATTTACTATGGTTTATTAAAATCTTTTTATTTTGCGAAACATGTGAAAGTAAAACAAAAACATGTAGACTATTTAATTTTAAATTGATACTTAAACAACACTAACAACAATAGACATTTGCAATCAATCTGATTAAGACATGGTATGAGAAAAATATATGTCAGGCTGTCAGCAGTAATATCTTTACGCCAAATAAAACGACTGCTTTACGTTTATATAGTTGATATTTTAATTTTTTAGAAATAAATATTATAAAAATGATTCGGATTTTCCATTATAACTATTACAAAAAATATATGAGGTGACGCTATATTTAAAGAAAAATAAAAAAGTTTGTAAGCTTAAGAGAGATAATATCAAAATTCAAAAGTAAGGTGTCTAGTTTTACAAATAAACAAAAGGTTGAGGGGCGTAAAAAGAAAATCAGAGAGAAAGAAGCATTTTTCTTTGAGCGAGAGAGAGAGAAGCTCTTATATATCAGAAGACTGCAAATCCGCTTGTGAATTATCTAATTGACCGGAGATGGCCATCGTTGACGATAGAACTTCGTCGGACGGCAACAGCGGTGGTGGCAAAGTTTGGGGGATTATTTAAGTTACCCTTTCGGAGCACAAATAATAGTACCACGCATACAACTTCCTCGACTTCTTCATACCAAATTGAAGGATCAAACCCTCACAACAACATCAACATCAACAATAACCATAGCTCGAGCTCCGGCAGCTCGGTCTCATCGGTAGCTAGATCTCTGCTTCCAACACGACGTCGCCTTCGACTTGATCCGCGAAATAAGCTTTATTTTCCCTGTAAGAACACTCGTCTTTTCTACTGCTCCCTTTTCTCCAAAAATTACTAATTTTTTAGTATTACTTGTTCGATATCCCACCTGTTTGTTTCTAAATGCATGAGATCTACTTGGTTTTTTTCAATCGATTTGGAAATTTCTGTTTTCTAATGTTGGTTTCTATACTAGGCTTGCTTATTTGTTTGTGACTTGAAAAATGCGAAATCGAATCACATTACTTGATGACAGTTTAAGAGTACTTTTTGTTACTCCGATGATGTTAATTGGTATCTTCCTACAGCAGCTGTCAATTCGATCAGGAACCCATAGATTTACTTATGCTAAATCTTATGTTTTAAGTAGTTGAAATTTAAGTGCTAAATCGGACCAACACAACTATTAATTAGGTTATACTTCATTTGTTTGAATTTATTTATAGATTTACAACTTTATATCATGAAGTTGTTGATGTAAACAAGTTATTAGCGAGAAATTACATTTCATGGCTTGTGAATGTTCACATACCTTCCTTATCTTTGCTAGGTTAAATCTACTTTTATGATTCTTACAAGCATGAGTCAACAATTCTGTAGTCCTTATTCATAGATTCTTGATTTATGGGGTTATTCATAGACAGTAGCAGATAAGATGTAAGAATGAGGTCACTTCATCTTAGTACTAAAAACAATGATAAGCTGAAAAGGCATGCTGACTTACCATTTGACACTTGGTCCTCAAAGTAAGTTACCCTAACTTGGACCACATTTGTAAGCAACACAAAGTAGCAAGTAAATAAAGCAAGAACAACAAGCTAAATGGGACACAAAATTATATTACTCTTGGAGTATCAAGTAGGCTTAATTAGGAAATAAAAGTACAGTGTTGTAATTGAAAGAAATGAAATTTGGATGCTAGAATACACAAATAAATAAAAGTACATCACTATTTTTTTCCATTTAATGCATGTAATTTGTTCTTTTCAACTCTTTAGATGAACCTGGTAAGCAAGTCCAAAGTGCTATTAAGATAAAGAACACCAGCAAATCTCATGTAGCTTTCAAGGTATGCCCATAAATTTCTTTAATCCTGCTACTATTTTTCTATATTCTTTTAATAATTTCACAATTATAATATCACAAGTTTAACTCCATCTCTTATTTAAATACAACTTTAACCTTAAACCTTAATCTGATATATGCTGTTTTCTTGTATTGATAAAGTTTCAAACAACCGCTCCAAAAAGCTGTTTCATGAGGCCTCCTGGTGCTATTCTTGCTCCTGGCGAGAGTATTATTGCAACAGGTATTTATTTTTTAGGGTTACATTCCCTAAATAGCAACATACTTTCAGTGATTTTTTTTTATAGTAGAATTCTACTTTCATTTTTATTGCTTATGTTTTAAATGGTTGTGAATTGTGACAGTTTTTAAGTTTGTGGAGCCTCCAGAGAACAATGAAAAACCAATGGATCAAAAAAGAAAAGTCAAATTCAAAATCATGAGTCTGAAAGTCAAAGGGATGATGGATTATGTACCTGAGCTAGTGAGTTATACTTATACCTATACATATATGTAAAATTGGTTTTTGGTAACTGAGTTTTATTCTGTGTTGACTCAGTTCGATGAGCAGAAAGATCAAGTGGCAGTGGAACAGATTTTACAAGTTGTTTTTCTAGACGTGGAACGCCCTAGCCCTGTAAGTAGATTCCAAATTATTATTATTATATGTTCTTTATACGTCTGAATGCGAAATTACCTTTCTGTCCCTGTTTTAAGGCTTTGGAGAAATTGAAACGTCAGTTAGCCGAGGCAGAAGCTGCTCTTGAATCCCGAAAAAAACCTCCGGAAGAAATCGGGACAAAAATTGTTGGTGAAGGTCTTGTTATAGATGAATGGGTGAGCTCTTTTTATATATTTGAAATATTAACTTACTTATTAAGTTATTATTATTATTATTATTAAATGTTGATATGCTTGTTAATGTTCTCCTCTTTGTTGCATTATTTAGAAAGAGAGAAGAGAGAGATATTTGGCGCGACAACAAGTTGAAGGCGTAGACTCGGTTTAATAAGTTTGTTCCTTTTATGTTCATTTTGTATCATTTGGTGTATGATCATGCAGTACAATCTGTTTTGTTCTGTCTTGTCTTGTCTTGTTCCGGTCTCTGCACAGAAGAGTTGTGCAGACGTTTGAAAAAAAAATGTTTCCATGTAAAAAGCTTTGGCGAGTTGAATCTGTAACTTGAGAGGTATATGGTAAATTATCACATTCAAGTTGTTGGTGGGTGCATGTACAATTGTACATGGTACAAGGTACAAGTCCATACAGCACAAAGGTACTACTTGGACTTGCACCCATCTTTCACTTTACCATCAAAACTAAGATTCCTGTGTGTTGATATCTGTATACTAATGAATACATTAGCCCATTAAATAACCAAGGTTTCTTAAAATTGATACTCAGTATAAACTAAGAAACATTTTTACAGAAACGAATATGTTGTTTTTAATAAGCGATAAGAAACAACACCTAAATACAAATTGAAATTTCAATGTAATCTGAAGAGCTGTTTATTCAGTTGGAAACTTCTTGATGATATGTTTAAGAACATTGGTTGTTGTTGTTGAAGCTTCTTTAGGAGACATCCCCGTCAACACAGATCCATTGACCAACGAAGAGTGAAAGACAGTTGATGTTGGGGTTAATTGACAATAAATATTCCAAATTCAAACCAAATGATTGGCAGATTGAGGTGCAATCGCCTGCGGGTTCCACACCAGTAACTTGGTTGCATGAAACGACTGAATTTGCCTTCTCGAGACTACCTGTTTCTGATAACATTAATCAAAAGAAAAAGATTTTGTCCTTTTGGTTTTGGTATAATCCAAACATTGTGATAACAAGTGGGTTTTTAGTTGGGTTAACACAAATTGTTAAATTAAACGAGTTAAAGATTTTCAACCAATCAAATCTGTTTAATTAAATGGGTTGAATTCAGGCGACCAAATTAATTTTTTTTTCAAACCTAATATTTTAGATAAGTGGGTTGGAATCTTTCCTAATAAATAAAAAAACTTTTTTTTTACCACATGTCATGCTCTCATTCAATTTGACAAATGACAATTTATGGTAATTTTGAATTAATTTTTTTCCACATGTCATTTTATGTCTTTTCCTATTTTATTAAATTTCATATAATATTTTAATGTAATAATTACAATAAATCCTCCCTAATAAATAAAGAATTTTTTTTGCCACATGCTTTCCTTCAATTTGACAAATATCAATTTGTGATAATTTTGAATTAATTTTTTTCCGCATGTCATTTTATGAGTTTTCCTATTTTATTAAATTCCATATAATATTTTAATGTAATAATTGCAATAAATATAGTAATAAATGGATATTAATTTTATTAATTAACTTACCTTCTAATTTCAAAAACTTTAAATTAAAGTTTATTAGTTTCTTGTTTATTTATTTAAATTTAATTTAAAGTTTTTGAAATTAATAAACTTTAATTTAAAGTTTTTGAAATTGGAAAGTAAGCTAATTAATGAAGGGTATTGTTATACCTACCTCAGATTTTTTTAATCCCACCCCTGCAATTATTATTTTTTAGGTAGATAACAAAAACCTAGACATAGTATTTCGCGCCACAAAAACCTAGGCATAGTATTTCACGCTTGTGAGCTGGAAAGCTTCAAAAATCCGAGTGCACATAAGGAGATTCGAACTCTGAACCTCCGGGCAACAATATATTATTATTGTAATATATTATTATTATTATTGTCGTTGTCTTATTATTATTATGGTTTGTATTGTATGAATACGCATAAATACATATCGTATACATATAAATATGAAATAAATATATATGTATACTTAATAATATGTACAAATACACATAGTTATGTCTTTTATAAATATAAACTAATAAAACATTAAAAATATATTCAAACGTCAAATATTTTTTTGTTTAAATCTTTTGTTCAATTAAAATTAAAGATTTTTTTAACTATATAAAAAAGGATAAAAGTTTAAAGATTTTTTGGTTATACAAATAAACAAAAAGTCATATTTTTTTTTTTAAAACAAAAAGTCATATTTTTTTAAATTCGTTGTTTGAAACAGAAATACAAAAACATAATAATTACGTCAACAATGTTTTTTTATGTTAAATAATGTCTTCAAACAAAATGTCGAAAAAAAATATATTTTTAAATCATAAAAACAAAGGTAAATAAATAAAATAAAAAACAAGATTAATAAAAGAAAAAATTAATAAACTAGTATATATTAAAAGAAAATAAAAAAAAACATAATCATTACATAATCATTAGTTATTTAAGGAAAATTATTAGGAGGTAGGGTTAAGTGAAAAGAGGGTAGGAATAATTGAAGCCTTAATGAAATAGATATCCATGTATTACTATATTTATTGCAAGTAAGCTAAGTAATGAACGGATATCAATTTCATTAGTTAGCTTGAAATTAGAAAGTAAGCTAAGTAATAAATGAATATCAATTTCATTAATTACATTACTTTCTAATTTCAAAAACTTTAAATTAAAGTTTATTAATTTCAAAAACTTTAAATTAAATTAAAAAAAATAATTTAAATAAATAAACAAGAAACTAGTAAACTTTAATTTAAAGTTTTTGAAATTAGAAGGTAAGCTAATTAATAAAATTGATATCCATTTATTACTATATTTATTGCAATTATTACATTAAAATATTATATGGAATTTAATAAAATAGGAAAACCCATAAAATGACATGTGGAAAAAAATTAATTCAAAATTATCACAAATTGACATTTGTCAAATTGAAGGAGAGCATGACATGTGACAAAAAAGTTCTTTATTTATAAGGGAGGATTTATTGTAATTATTACATTAAAATATTATATGGAATTTAATAAAATATGAAAACCCATAAAATGACACGTGGAAAAAAATTAATTCAAAATTACCACAAATTGACATTTGTCAAATTGAAGGAGAGCATGACATGTGACAAAAAAGTTATTTATTTATTAGGGAGAATTTGTTTAAATTTAAAAGATAAAAAACATTTCAATTTTAATAATTCATTATTTTTTTTTATTTTCTTATAAATTAAAAGTTCTCAATTATTTAGACCTTTATATTAATTTTTTTTAATTAGCCCATGTAAAACATGAGTTTTACGACTAGTATATCCATTAACTATTAACATTTATGTAAAATAAGTTTAGACTTAGTAAAATAAATTAGAAACTCAATAACTGTTTAAAGATAAAAATAGACAGCTACAACACAATTGTTAAAGATAACATTATAAATTTCCAAGACTTTAGGGATTTGTTATTGTATTTTATTAAAAAAATTAAATAAAATATAAAATAGATATATTTTACAACGGGTTGATGTAACTTCAGGAATTTTAACCTTAACCCAACCTAATTAGCTAAACAAGACAATCTCGTTGGCCGAATTAAACAAATGGGTTAAAATATCAACCCAAACAGTTATATCTATATATGGTTGGATGGATTTTTGCGAGTTCTAATGTCAATATAACTGAATTTTGGTGTTATAATAAAAAAGGAAGAATGTAAATGAAATTCTTCTCGCATCCTAAAATGGAAAAATCCATCAATCACTGAATTTGTAGAATTCCTGAATCCTGACACAACAGAATTTTGTCCATTTTGCAACCAAAGAACACCATGGAATGAGATCACCAATTCGAAACCAAACAAGCCTTAAAAAGTCAGAGACTTACCAGTTAGGGTAGATTTGCTTTCTGCCATTATGACTAGCATTAGAACAAGGACTAACACATTCAAAGCCATTTTCACAACCATAGAAGTGTTCTTGGCCATGGGTGTTTATTTATTTTTGGGTAGCAAAGACGTCTGTTTTGGCTGATACATGGTCTGAATTCTTGATGTTGGCATTTTATAGTAAAAGATTTGAAATAAATTTCCAAAATGTTACGTTAGTTTTAAGATGATGAGAATAAAAGCCGAATTTCTCATTGTTGCAAACGGCCATTGTTGTTCCCTGGGATTCTTAATTACCACTACAACAACAAAACTTGAAGTGATTGTGATTTTTAAATGACATTTTAAAAATAAAATATTGTAATTTTTGGCTTATGTTTTGGGTTTACATCACGTGTTTGTGAAGAAGCACCTACGTATGTGGTTAGGTTGAAAGAGGTGAATATATACTACATTCACAGGGATATAATCTTGTATATTTTGGAAAATAATGGCAAAAAGGTTTAAGATTAGTTAATTCTAATGCTTATACAAATAATATGGTTGGCTATGGGCTTAAAAGTAAGCAGGAAGTTGAAAATTATTTTGGGTCATTTCAGCAAAGAAGAGTTTAAGTGGGAGGATGAACATGAAGTAGATCAATGTGGGTGTGGTTGAGAGTGATAGCAGTAGCTATTTGAGTTGGAATGGAAGGCGAGGATGAAGTAAGCGAGTTTAGAAAGAAAAATGTAATTTACAAACACAATGATTCAATGAAGATGAGAAGGAGGTGAATTATGAAAATAAGTCCTCATAAAAAGTTATCAAAAAAGCGATTTTGATCGTAGAATCGCACGATTCTACGATCCTACATATGTATTTCGATCCGATCTTAGTAAACTCATTTTTAGGTAGAATCGGAGTGGAATCGTAAAATTAGATCATAAAGTTGTAAAGCCGTAAAATCGGATTGTAAAATCGTAAAATCGAGATGGTAACTTACAATTGTCAACGTTATTGCTTTATTGCTAATTTTTTATATTGTTATTTAATTATTCCTTTATTCTTTTTATTAGGTACATTCTAAGAGAAGAAATCAGCTCCAGAAGATGAACGCATCCTCAATCTTTTGTACGTTACAACTTGAAGGTTATGGAAAGATAAGAAAATAAAAGAAAATAAAATGAGATAACGAGACTTGAAACATTGAATCTTGATGATGTAAGTTCCGATGACGAATGGATTACCAAAGAAAAATCTTTTAATCATAATTCACATGAAAAGATGATGAACTTTTTTGATGATTTAAGTTCAAGTCAACCTCAAGCACATATTGGTGGTGTAATAGACCAGAGAGAAGAAAATGATTTAGATTTAGAAGAGATAAATGATTATGAATGCTTAGTTTGTTATGCTAAATTAGATTGAAAATGATATGTATAAGCCATCACAAATGTTTTGAACATTTTAGAATTTGTGGACAATAGAAATATATTTTGCATGTTTTAAATTTATAATAACATTATTTTTTGTAGAATCTTAGGATTTGATTCGATTTTACGATCAGGATTTTGCAAACCTAAAATCGATTCTATATAAAATCTCGATTTTACAAACACTGT